CTGCAGCGTAAGGAAAGGAAAGGAGCCAGGGGAAATTGGGATGAAAGTTTTTTTACAACTTGAAGTAAATAAAGACTTCCTCCCTGATTAGAAAAGCAGCTAGAAATGTCTGGTCCAGACTCAAGAGGCTGCTTTGTAGGGTCAAAAGCTGTCCCATGTGCTGGTTCATGATCCTTCAGAGAATTTAAATCTCTGCTAAGCAGAAAGGATGCTTGGCTCAAGGAGGTGACTGCTCTATTGGAAGCTCACGGTGGAATGTGTTTCTCTGAGGGAGTTGAGATGCAAGATATCACTAAACCTGCAATGTTACATAAATGAGATGCTTCATGGAATGGGAGCCTGCACCACTCATGATGCTGCTTTTTAAGCATGCAGCCTGTGCACTGAGGCAGCAATAAACCACATGAAGGTTTTCACCGCTGTTTTAAGGGTCCGTAGGGGTTCAGGGAACATCATGCTTAGTGGCAAATCCAGACCTCATCCTGGTAACCAAGAAAGCAATATTGTCTTGTGGCCTGTTGATTTAAGGTTTTGATTTCTTTGTTGCCTCTTTGATGCTAATGGGTCACTTCAGATGAATACCTACTCACCTCCCCTGTCTCTCTCTCTCTCTCCCTTCCCCAGGGACCACAGTTGGAGCAGATGCTCCAAGTCACAACGCATAAAGAGAGGACACCCAAGGATGTCTCTCTAGATAGGCACTATGCTGTATGGTCTGTGCCTCTCTCTGGGTGACTCACCAGCCCCTGGGGGTATTGCACAGATCCCTGCATGGGTTAAGTTTAAGGCCAGAAGCTCTCTGCATTGCTTGACATGAGTGCTAGACCATTTCTCCCTCCATTGCTACTGGGAGAGCACTCATCATGCCTTTAGCATGTCCTCAACCCTTCCCCTCCCCAACCTCTTTGTTTTCAGGAATTTGATGAACAACATCCGTCTAGCATGAAAGAGATACAGCTGATTTCCAAGGGCAAAAAGCCTTGGTTCCTTTGGCACCAAAAAGTAAAGAAATATTCATAAGTTGCCTAGCTCTAGAGGCTTCCGAAGGGAACCGCTGTCACACATGCTGCTGCAATGCATGGCTCTGATCCGTCTTAAAGGCTGTTACTTGTCCCAAAGCTGGTCCCTGTGTCAAAAGGGTGAGAAGCCAAATAGTCTTTATAGCTCCCATCGATCAGTTTGTCTGCATTGTTTTTGGCAAACCAGCACTCAACTTCCTGCTGGCCATTGTAGATCCTCCTCTGCTTCCACACAACAGGAACGAGCCGTCCCTTCACTTTCAGGGTGTTTGTAGGGTTTGGCTTCAATGCTTCAGTTTGATTCTGACCAACCTGCTGGTTACTTGTGTTTAGAGATTCCTGAAGAAGTTTAACTTCATGGTTCAAGAACTGACCTGCAAGGCAAGATAAAACAGAGTCCATCACTGCCTGGTTTGTGCCTGTTTATGTTTGTTGGTTGTTTTCTAACAGGCCGTGTTCTGAACTGTATAGGGTTCTAAAGAGTTTCTCTGCAATAGCAGGATGAATCTTAAAGTCCTTCAGTTGTTTTCTAAATCTCACAAACAGATTAGAATAAAACCCTATTTCCTTTTTCACTCATCAAGACATATTCCCTCAGCAAAAGAGCTTTTTGAGCTGCTAGTAGCAAGTTCCCATCTGTGGGCCACAGTTACTGGAGGATAATAACCCATGCAATGCCCATCAGCAAGCAGAAAGATCTAGGCCTAATACCCCAAGTTTTCCTGGGGACAAGATCTTTTAGGCCAGACCTAAGTGTGGATTTAGAGGTTTGTGCATGCAAGTGGCCTGAATCCAAAACCCCACTCCTGAGGGACCATCATCTGTTTAATCTGGGGTTACATGAGTGTCATGGAAACTATGGCTTCAGTCTTAGGATTCTGCACCTGTACATGGCCATAAACAACACTACGTCTTGTTGGCTGAAAGAAACCAACCATCTAGATGTTCTCTGAGCCTACCTAAAGCCTAGTTGCTCTCCAAATATGAGGATAGCTCTTCTTTCACTTCATGTTTGAAAGAAAGGGGCCACAAAAAGTACCAGTGTTGATCTTAATCAGGCTATTCTGAATTGGAGATACTGTTAGAGAATCTCTTACTGGTGCCTTTTTCAGGGTTCTTATGGTTTCTGTCTCTGTATGGGGAGCATCAAGCATGTGACAACTATGTTAAACAATCACAAAAAGAGTGGAAATGTGAAAAACAGCCACAGAGCTAGAATAGTAGGAGATAGCTCATACAGAAAGAGATGGGAGAAGAGTTGGGGATACTAACAATAGAGAAGATGTTTGAGAGTGGATGCAAGTGTCTCACCTGGGAACTTAATCATCACCTGCATTGTTCATTATCTCCTGTCTCTGTCATTTAAAACTGTTTGGAAGGATCATTTTTGAGGATGATAGGAGGGCTGGAGCACCTCCTGTATGAAGACAGGCTGAGCAAGTTGGGGCTGTTCAAAAAAAACCAAAAAAAGATGGAAAATTTAAAACCCAGCCACAGCCACAGAGCTAGAATAGTAGGAGATAGCTCATACAGAAAGAGATGGGAGAAGAGTTGGGGATACTAACAATAGAGAAGATGTTTGAGAGTGGATGCAAGTGTCTCACCTGGGAACTTAATCATCACCTGCATTGTTCATTATCTCCTGTCTCTGTCATTTAAAACTGTTTGGAAGGATCATTTTTGAGGATGATAGGAGGGCTGGAGCACCTCCTGTATGAAGACAGGCTGAGCTAGTTGGGGCTGTTCAGCCTGGAGAAGAGAAGGCTGAGTGGAGACCTCAGAGCAGCTTCCAGTGTCTGAAGGGGGCCTATAAGGTTGCTGGGGAGGGACTCTTCGTGAGGGACTCTAGTGGTAGGACAAGGGGGAATTGCTTTAAACTTAAACAGGGGAAGTTTAGATTAGATCTAAGGAAGAAGTTCTTTACAGTGAGGGTGGTGAGGCACTGGAATGGGTTGCCCAAGGAAGTGGTGAATGCTCCATCCCTGGTGGTGTTCAAGGCCAGGTTGGACAGAGTCTTGGGTGACATGGTTTAGTGTGAGGTGTCCCTGCTCATGGCAGGGGGGTTGGAACTAGATGATCTTAAGGTCGTTTCCAACCCAAACCGTTCTATGATTCTATGACTCTTGTCTGGTTTACAGCTCTGTACCCAAGAACTTGTTACCTACCCAGTAGCCCATGGGAATCAGAAGAGAGGCCTTTACTGTTGGAGATGTAGAACCCAAGGTGATTCCTCTGATATGGAGCCGGCTTCTTGTACCGGTGGATGAGGATGACAAAGCTGATGGTGTCTCGTATCGTCACAGTGATGTTGGAATTGGCACAGATGGACACCTCGAGGCTGCTGCTTCGCACAACAGCGCTCCGACCACAGGACAGAAGAAGTCTTTCCCCATCATCCAGGATGATTCTTTTGGGTGTGATCTCTAGGTAAGATCTCTCTGGCTTATTGTTGAGGATAGTGATGGTGCTGAAGTAAGTCCGATGCTTCTTGTGGCCGTTGGGTGGTGCAGGAGCTCCAATTAATTGCCCATTCACAGTTACACCTTGCAGGAAAACAGTAAGTGAAAGAGGAAAACAAGAATCAATCTATTTATTGTCTCAAACATACAGACCTTGCAACTACAGAGGATATGAAGATTCACCACCTCCTGCTCGATTATTTCACCTACAAGCATTCAAAACAGTGTAACCAGCCTGTTACAAACTGATAACCTTATACAGAGCACTTAAATTTACCCAAGCTCAGAAATACTGGCCTTCCCTGGAGACAGTTTCTCCTACCCCATTAGTCCTAACACTGTGTACACAGTGCTACAGGATAGAATCAGCTGCTTCACAGCACAGCAACTCCCCAAGTTCCAACCTTAGATCCAATTATGATCAGGACAATGATGTGCAGGGATTTTAAGCCACACAGGACAAGCACTTATCTTCGTGACTACTTTAGCCTGATCAACCATGCTATGATTTATCTAGACCACCTATCTGTTGATGCATAACTCAAACCTGGGCAAACATGCCAAATCATGGATGACTAAGAAAAGCTGCTGGCAGTCCTGCTTTTCCTCATATCATTAGCTGGCACAGGGACTGAACTTCTAGGAAGATCCCCGGGTGTATCTGGATGATGCTGTCTCAGGGATATTCAGGGTCGTAGACAGTTGTGGTCTGATGTCCCTCTCTAGATGATTCCTAAGAATTAGCCTGGGAAGCCATAGAGTAAGGGTTACTACCTCAGGCAACGTACGAGCAACTTCACCTCAGACTGATACGCAACAGTCTGAGGTGAAGTGCTGAACCTGCTCAGGTGGCAGTGTAAGAAATCCAGGTTCTCTTTGTATCTCCACAGAAGAGCCAATCCTGCACTCCCATTGGGTTATTTCCAGCTTCACCAGTGCTGCCTGTGCCACTTTGCTCAGTTTTTCCCCAAAAGAACCACTTCTGAGTAGTCTAAAGTGCAGATCCCACTGAGTCAAATAAAGTCTAGATGCCTGTGGTAAGATTCCCAACAGTTTTAATTACTTTTGTGACTTAGGAGACACATAAGACAGTGTCCCACTTCCCACAGGCCTCTGAACAGCTACTAGACAATGAACAATAAAGGAGGACGCTTGTTGCTAACCCAAGCCACAAGCAGTGAGATAAAATATCTCCGTATCCCATCATTTCTGAGGGGATCTCTCATTTCTGTCTTCATAGACTCTACTTGCTAGTGCTACAGAGTCTTTTTTTCTTCAAGCTTATTCTGCTTTTGAGCCACAAAATCATTCAAGTGGTAGAAGAGAATCCATGAAAGAAGTTTGCCAGGAGCTGGATCTTATTCACTAGGGCATGAATACAGAAATATGGAGGCTAGACCACTGCCACACAGAACAGAATTCTTGTAACTTCATTGTGGGGTTATTTATCTTCTTTATAAAACAAGTCAGTGCATTGTCTCTGGTTTTGACATCCCTTCCTCCCACCATTTCCCTGCTTCAGGACATAATCTGCTTATTAGCTGCCCTGCTTAGAATTCCAGATCAGATCAGACCACAGTCTGGGCCCCTGAGGATCAGGCTGGCTTGGACAAAGCAGACCCTGAATAGTGTGGGTTTTCTCAAGGCTGTCATTTTAGCCTGTTTGGATACTCCACTCTGTCCTGAAGCAAAAAGTACTGCAAGGAAAGAGTGAAGTTCCAACAACAGAGTAATTCTGGTGAGTCCAAATCTTTTATTAGCCTGTTGTAACTTTGTGTAACTAGAGAATTGGTAAAGAGGTACCATCAGAGTAATGCACTGTCTCCACACGAAAAAGCTGATCCTCTGTGTAAGCTCTCACATGGAGGTGGCTTATGCAAACACTACACGCAGGATGCAAAATGCTGTTTGTTCAGCTGTGGCTGTTGTAGCACTGGTCAAGTGCAACCCCCAGACCATACTGGGTCCAATGATCAGGAATTTTGCTCTCCAATCTAGCAGGACTGAAGAAGTGCAAGGGTCCTCATGCACTCAAGTGGGTCTCTTGGCTGTTCATGTGTAGTTGCTGATCCCTTGATTTCAGTCAATGAAGACCTGAACTAGGAAAAGTTTGGGTACATATAAGGGCCAGTTGTCTCTATGATGAGGTCTACTCTGTTGACAAACACTTCTGTAGATGAATTCTGTACATAACAGTGACCAGGCCTCCTCCTTGCTTAGGATTGCTGTGGATTTACCCAGAAGCTATGATAAAGTTGGAAGTCAGTAAGTGCAAGTGAACAGTTTACCCCCCCTTCCAATCCAGGTGATTAGAGCCAGAAACTGGTGTAAACCAATTTTCCATCGTCTGCCAAGAAAAACAGCTTTTTCTAATGTCTTGTCACATTCTTGCCTATGAACACCTTAGTCTAAATGCTGGAGACCTGGTCTCACACTTCAGTTTTCCTCCACAAGTAGAGTCATAGAATAGTTGGGGTTGGAAAGGACTTTAAGATCATCTAGTTCCTACCCTCAAGTAGCTGCTTTACTTGGCTGCTTACCAGATTCCTTATGATCAGAGACCAGTCGGAGGATGTCCCCTGGTTCTCCGTCAATATTGAAGCAGACAGAGAACTTGCTGGAGGGGAAATCAATGACAAAGTGAGGGTCTCCATCCGCTGAGAAGACATGGAAGAAGATACGTATGTGAGAGACTTGCACAAAACTGCAGTGTCCAAAACTGTAACAAAACAGCTTTTCAAAGTATCTTTGTCCCTGCTTTTTTCTAAGCCCTCCTAATTTGTTGTTTTTAGAGGGTTGGAAGGAGTTTGCCAGGAAATGCCAAGTTTTGCTTTGTTTTTTCACAAAGATCTATTCTACTTTGTTTTGTTTTTCTCACAGAGAGGTTGGGTTTTCAATGGAAACTTAAACCCCAGAACAGTCCCATTGAAAATCAGGATATTTTCTTCCTGGAATATAGTTTCAGTGGGAGTTGTCCTGCAGTTTTATACTACTTCATACTCTGTCACCAGCTTACATCCCCCACAGCACACAAAAATGTGTCTTCTAACCAAGGAGTGCTGCATGGGCACAACTCACATGGAACCTTCCTGGCCCTCAATATCAAATTGGGGTAGTCAACAGCAGATATTAACAACACACAACCTTAACCACAACCTTCAGTTTTCAACAATCCTTGACCTATCAATCATCAACAACCAGATAGGTGTCAGTAATAATAAGTCAAACCAAACCCCTAGTTTTTAAGGTAAATTTGACCTTATCCAGTGAAATTCAAGTCTA